GGGGGGGTGTTCTTGATTAAAAATTTGGTCTATATGGACCAAATAGACCATTCCTTAGCTTGTCGTGCATTCTTTCCAAAAATCGGGACTTTTTTAAAACTCCAAATCTCGGGACTGTCCCGCCAAAAGTGGACGTCTGGTCACCTTACGCTAGCCTGCTAACCATGAGGTTGGCACTTTGAGCCTACCCAGAGGCACCTCAAATTGCGCTCAAGTAGCATGGCTGCCTCATCATGAGAGGCGCTTCAAAGGAAAGGTGTTACCTGCTTCTGAAATGTCAGTCTTGAAACCCCTAGAGAACAATTAGACTCTGCACATGGTGTCGCTGTGAGTCAGAACTGACTCAACAACAGTTAATGCCATTGTCATCACCACCACCACCACCTTCCCTGACCAACACACAGTCGCACGCACGTCTACATAGATGAACATTGCATGTTCACTCCTATGTTAAAAAGCATGTGATGTTATTCCGGTCCCTGGTCCCTGCTCAGATGTCAATCTTTCAAGACGTATTCTCTAGCACGTACTTTCCTTGCATCCTCATCTTTGTTTTGTGGAGAACTTACCACTTCCTCAAAAGTTACTGTTTCTTTCTCATCTCGCCCACCCCGCTAGAAAAGCCCATCCCCCGGGAATGAGATCCTGCCTGTTGTTCTCACTGCTGCGCCCTCATTCCCCAAGTGGGCAATACCACCCCCTGGGGGCACTGGAACAATCCAGGGAGAGGGGCAAAAGCAGACACCTACACTTTAGTCTGAATTATGGACTATAGAACCAAAGTGCCAGGGGGACACTGGGTAAACCGCTTTCTAAAAGGGGGCAGTAGGTCAAATAAGTTTGGCTCTTTATGCTCTAGAACCATGTTGATCCCATAATAGCTGTTCAATATGCATTTATTGAATGAATGAATGAATGAATGAATGAGTATGACGCTTAGAGAAAAGCCTGAGAAGTATGCTAAATGCTAGGAAGAGTTGGTTTTGGGTGGTAGGCTTACAGGCCCTTGTCCCTACAGTAACATGATTACCATTACACCGAGGGAAGTGGAGTGGTCTAGAACACGGGACATAACTAGGAATTACCTGGAGAGAGGATAACGATCGCTGTGAGCAAAGCATACTCTTCTTGAGTCATCTTCAGTTCTCCAACGCTTTTGTAAAAACTAAACATGGGCGTTATATACTCATCTGAGATACCTGTGGGGGAAAGGTGACACACTGTAACCGCGCAGTACTGTTTTCGAAGGACTAAAAGGTGTACAGGATGAAGACACTATAGATATAGTATTATGGGGTGGCTGATGTTCTCCCGTAAAGGGATGTTGAAGTCTCAACCTCTGGTGCCCATGAATGTGACCCTCTGGTGCAGAGAACAGCACGGAAGGCCACAGATGACCTCTTCGGGCTTCCTGTTGTCACAAGGCAGAGGTCAGACATGCCACCACCCTTCATCTCTCTTTACCTCTTCTGACAGCAACTGCCGCTCCCATGATGCTCGCCTTCAGTGCTGGGTTTGAGCGTTTGCTGCAGTTACACGCACAGAGTTCACAGCAAGACTCACAAGCGAGGGGTGTTACCAGGGGGCTTACCAGGTTACCGCAAGCTCCAAGCAGCAAGCAGTAAGGACACAGTCAGGTGTCCCACGGCAAGACCTTTCCTCAGCAAGTAGCCACATCTCTCTCAGTCTTTGGCCTCTCAGCCATATGGTCCCTTGGCCTCTGCCAGCGTGGGCCAGGAAGCCAGCCGGCTGCTCTTCCTCATGGTCTCATAGTCTCAGCGTTGCTCTCTTTCACAGTCTCCTTGCCTTGGCCTCTGATGCCTCTGGTCTCAGCCTCTGCCACTTCAGACAGCAGACAGATCTAGAACGTGCTACACTGATGGCTCTTTTTCCAATGGCCCCGGGGCTTCTCTCTCCCCCTGCCATTCGTATGGCCAGCTCATTCGTATGGCCTAACACAGAACGATTCCCTCTATATGTGGTACACATGCCATATTTGCATGGTCCCGCCCAATCATCTCATGGAAGTTACAGAGACATGGAGAGAAGAGGGTCATTAAGAAAGCGCACTCTACCCTATCTGGAAGGAGCTATCTTTGATGCTCCATTCACATAAAGCTAGAGGAGAGACCTGACGGCACAGTGCCTAAGCATATGGCAGCGAACTGAAGGACCACCCAGCAGCCCAGGAGAGAGATGCAGCAATATGCTGAACTACAAACTTCGGAGGGAGCCTGGCATGGCCAACCTGTTGGCATGGATATGGGGAGTCCAGGTGGAGAAACAATGCATTGCTGTTATCTCAAGCTTCCTGTTTGGTCAGACCTTGCTATCACAGACCTAGGGAATTACTATACTCACATGTTAATATGTATATCAAAATGCACACATGCAAATAACTAAAGGGGATTCTGTGGCCCAGCCAATGGCAGGGCATTGCAAAAAAAAATTTTTAAATATCAAAGAACAAACTCCTCAAATATATACTGAACTCAGCAATTTGCCCGCCTTGGATCTCAGTGGTGCCCGCAGTTCGGCTGTTACTACATCTGGCAATGAATGATAAAGTTCATTCATTTCCAAAAGATTCTCTGCACTCCACCATTTTCTAGATGCGGTGTAGTTCGTCCTTCTGCTCCTCGTATCTGTGACTGAGGCATGGGAAGCCTCTTCAAGAAGCAACCCCAAATTGTTGCTTTTTGTTCCACATGTATCAACAACTCTGGTTGGTAGATTTTCTAGGGTTCTTACCAAATGGCTCTGGTGTCTCCGAGAAATACCAAACCTGCCTCTGCTTTGCTTACTGAGCGTTTCCACTTGGCTAATCTCTTCAAAGGGAGCCCTGGCGGCACGGAGTGTAAGAGCTCACTGCTAACAAACGGGAAGATGGGCAACTCAGACCCACCCAATGGTTTTGTGAGAGAAAAGCCAGGCAGTGGTCTCCTGCAAAGATTATAGCTTAGAAACCCCTTTGGGACGGCTCCACTGCTTCGGCGGATGGAGTCACTCTGAGAGTGGAAATAGGCTCAAGGACACTTAAGAACAACAACAATATTGTCTTCCAATTCAGTAGGTCCCAAATCACCATCACAGTGTCCAGAACCAAACTCCCCAACGCCCGCCAAACCTGTGGATTCTTCCTGTCTACTCGCTCAATCACCCCTCTTCCCTCCACTACCAGAAGTTCCCCACCCCGCCAAAAAAACAAACAAACTCTCCTCCCCTTCTAAAGCTCTCCAAATAAAATTTCAGTTGTTTTTCTTTTTCTAGAGGAAGCTGTTTGGGGATCTGGTGTTTCACTATCTTAAATAGCTATTACTCAACTGACAGTCTGAATTCACAGTTACTGAGTCCTCGCCAAGTTGTCCTGAAGGTTCTCCGTACATCATAGATGCTAATGCGTTTATGCAGGAAGTAGGCCCAGAGAGGCTACATAACATGCCCAAAGGCACACAGCTGGTGAGAGGTGGAGGCAGGATTCAAACCAAACTAACAGGCTAAGTAGATGTTTGGCTATTCACTCTGACAAGCTGCACCGCCTACACAGCCCTTAAGTCAGTCATACCCAGCTTCACATTGCCAAGTTTTCGTCCTTCCCCATCTCTCTACCTGGGATATCGTCCTTCTCCTTTCCCTAACGTAGTCCTCTTCATTCTGTAAGGGGGTTTGTATCACTTCCTCCACTCATACAGTACATATTAGTTTGGTGATTAGCTCTGAGCAGGGCTCCCACCCAAAAGGGAGTTGATGAGGAAATTATAGACAGAGGAAGAGATGGCAGAAGCGGCGGGAGGGAGAGAGGGAGAAAAATGTGCATTACGGATTAAGACCAGGGTGAGTTTCCAGACCTGATGCAGACCAGAAAAAACTACTCTGTTCCTTCTCAATCAGATCCAGAGCCCTAATGCGTGGGTTGAACCACACCAGAATGAAACTGGATTCCAGATGCCAAAGAGCACAATCATGAATGTCATACTCAACAGAACCAGAAAGGCTAAGCCCACTTTCACCAGAGCCGCCCGTCTTCCCAGACTGGATCCTTGCCTTTCCTTCTCCGACAAAATACCACACTATTCTTCCCCTTTGACTTTCGATTGACCCTGGTGAGCTCAATGAACAACATCTTTGTTGAGCAATTTGGGGATTGTGTAATGTGGAAGATAGCTCTTTATCCAGCTGTTACGTATTGGGCTGAAGACCCATGACCAAACTAGAGACAACTGTAAAATAAAGAGGGTTGTAGTTAAGGCAAGTCACCAGTTTGGCTTTCCAATAAGTGTTGTCATTCAAAGCCAGTGGCTTGTTCTTGAGTACATAAGTTCTTTAACTCTAAAATATGAACCATAACAATAGGAGATATGTAGCGTGCTTAGCATCATGCCTGGCTTATTGTTAGCAGTCAGCTAATCAATGTTAAGGAAAAGAATCATAACACCTTAGTATTGTTATTTGGGAGAACAGGATCAATGCTAGTCTCAGTTCCTCTTTACACAGTTATGCTGCATTTGTTTTGCTTTTAGCATTCTGCAGTTTTGTAGAGATGAAACAAATTGATCATGAATTGATTCATATGTTTCTCAATACTAAAGCTAAATTGTGATTTACATTCAAAACAATAGTAGACTTTAGACTTTCCTTAGCATTTGGGGGGACTATACCTCAGTTACTTTTACCCCCAAATGACTGTGCTATTGCTTCAAATAGATTTGGGAGCATTCTGGTTTGAAAATATTTCGTTTTTAAGGAATCTTATTAATTTCCTGCTTTGTCTTTCTCAGTCTCCACTCACTCTCCATTAACGAGTTGCAGCTGATAACTTTTGAACACACTCAGGCCGACGTGCTGGGTATGAGGGCTTCATCGTCTGCATGATAGGAGAGGCCAAGAACGAATGTAGGGGAAAAATAAAGAGACGATCATAAAAGTTCCTACAAGGTATATCCGGTATGGATTTAGCTTTGGAACGCATGCTCAACAATCAAAATTAACTGGGCCAACATAAATAAAGGGGCATTCTGCACCGGTTAGGAGCTCTGGTGGTGTAGTGATTACATGCTGGGCTGCTAACTGTAAGGTTAGCAGTTCAAAACCACTATTGGTTCCACGGGAGAAAGACGAGGCTTTACAGTCTTAGAAACCTAGGGCAGCAGTTCTACCCTGTCCTATAGGGTCGCTGTGAGTCACATCGACTCGACCGCTGTGGCTGGTTTTCTGGTTTTCAGTGCACCAGCATTTTCTAACAGAAGAAGTGCAACAACAACATTGTCCTGCAGGGGGAAGCCTTTTCCTGTTTTCCGGCTTCCTCCTTTATGGAGATTTGCCTACGCAATTTTTTTTTGTTGTTGTTCTTTGGCCGAATTAGCTGAATTTTGGTCACAAGGTGGGGCTATTTTCTAACTTACTACATGGATTTTACCAGAGAAAAATTCAAAGATGAGCTGCACAGTTTACGTTCCTGCATTTATTTCTTGTGTGGGGTGGGAATTTTTTGTTTTGTTTTTAAACAGCGGCCGGTGATTGGTAAATTAATTCTTCCATGATCAAAAATATTTTAGAGACTAACTACTTGGTGGAATGAACGCGGTGCTAATCTAAGTGATTATTGTAGCCGTCAATGTTGTTTGCTTCCTTGTTTTAATTGGAACCGAAAATAAACCAGAGTTCAGGTGTGTACAATATACACTGGTGTATGCAATATACATATCCTGCGCTTTGAAACACCTCTTGATTAATTGGAGTCCCTAAAGGTCCTCTCTGAACCGGAATTAACCCCGTGGTAGTGATTTTAATATGGTTGGTGCAAATGGTTAGTCAGCTAAGCAGCTCACCAGTAGGTTCGAGATTCTAGTCTACCCAGAGGATCCTGGAGAGAAAGCCCTGGCGATCCACTTCTGAAAACACAGCTAGGAAAACCCCAGGGACACGAGCATGTCTACACTGACACACTTGGGGTTGCCGTGGGCCAGAGTCAACCCAATCCCAACCGGCTCATGACCGTGTATCATTAACAGTTGCAAAATAAACCACGAACCTTGTTAAAATGTTGCTGTTTTCTCAAAATCACATCCATGGACATTTTCCTAGAAATAATGACATAATCCGTCGCCTGGAAGTTAATGTACAAACCCATGTGGCATACAAGGCTGGCTCTGTTTTCTGCCTTGCTTTCCAGCTAAATTCTCTCCATCTTAATGGTTTC